AGTAAAGGGAAACGAGTGGCCGTCATTACTTTAACAAATGAAGGTCAGTCAGTCTGGAAAATTGCGAAAACTTAGTAAAGTGCAGTCGCAAAAACCATCAAGCGCTACAATGAAACTGGCTCACATGAGGACTGCTCTGCTGCTGGGGATAAGTTCATCCGAGTCACCAGCCTCAGAAATCGCAGGTTAATAGCAGCTCAAATTAGAGACCAGCTGAATGCCACACAGAGTTCTAGCAGCAGACCCATCTCTAGAACAACTGTTAAGAGGAGACTGCGCGAATCAGGCCTTCATGGTCAAGTAGCTGCTAGGAAACCACTGCTCAGGAGAGGCAACAAGCAGAAGGGATTTGTTTGGGCCAAGAAACACAAGGAATGGACATTAGACCAGTGGAAATCTGTGCTTTGGTCTGACGAGTCCAAATTTGAGATCTTTGGTTCCAACAGCCGTGTCTTGGTGAACGGATGGATTCTACATGCCTGGTTCCCACTGTGAAGCATGGAGGAGGAGGAGGTGTGATGGTGTGGGGGAGCTTTGCTGGTGACACTGCTGAGGATTTATTCAAAATTGCATACTGAACCAGCATTTCTACCACAGCATCCTGCAGCGACATGCCATCCCATCCGGTTTGCGTTTAGTTGGACCATCATTTATTTTTCAACAGGAAAATGACCCCAAACTCACCTCCAGGGCTATTTGACCAAGATGGAGAGTGATGGAGTGCTGCGCCAGATGACCTGGCCTCCACAGTCACCGGAACTGAACCCAATTTACATTTACTCATTTGGCAGACGCTTTTATCCAAAGCGACTTACATTTGAGGAACAACATACAAGCATCAACAGAGCATCAACTACAGATCTACAACTGACAATACATACTAGTAAGAGCTCACAGTACATAACACATCAATGGGGTAGATACCTAGGGAAGGAAGTAAGAGTTAACAAAAAGTGCAATCAAAACAAGATCATTGTAGGGGATAGAAGAAGAGCACAGGAAGTGCATGTTAGGGTTAGGAGTTAGAGGTGTTATAAGAGGAAGTGTTCTCGGAAGAGATGAGTTTTCAAGAGGTTCTTGAAGTTAGAGAGGGACGCCCCTGCTCTGATGGCGTGTGGTAGCTCGTTCCACCATCGTGGTGTCACAGATGAGAATAGCCGGGACTGGATTGCTTTGTGTGAAGGGATGGCAGAGCCAGGCAGCGTTCGCTGGAGGAGCGTAGCGGGCGAGAAGGAACGTAAGTTTGTATTATGGAGTTTAGGTAGATGGGTGCAGACCCGGTAGTCACTCTGTATGCAAGCATTAATGACTTGAATTTGATTCTGGAGGCCACGGGGAGCCAGTGGAGGTCACTGAGTAATTGAGTGACATGAGTCTTCTCGGGCTGATCAAAAAACAGACGCGCTGCTGCGTTCTGAACCATTTGTAAGGGTTTCACCGCACAAGCTGGAAGACCTGCTAGGAGGGCATTGCAATAGTCGATGCGAGAAATAACCATGGCCTGTACCAGAAGCTGGGTGGCGTACTGAGTGGTTTGGGGTGATCTGGACCGCAGAGTGAAGGCAAAAGGGCCAACAAGTGCTAAGCATCTCTGGGAACTCCTTCAAGACTGTTGGAAAACCATTTCAGGTGACTACCTCTTGAAGCTCATCAAGAGAATGCCAAGAGTGTGCAAAGCAGTAATCAGAGCAAAGGGTGGCTACTTTGAAGAAACTAGAATACAAGACATGTTTTCAGTTATTTCACAAGTAATTTATTTCAAGTACATAAGAATGTGTTCATTCATAGTTTTGATGCCTTCAGTGAGAATCTACAATGTAAATAAAGGAAACGCATTGAATGAGAAGGTGTGTCCAAACTTTTGGCCTGTACTGTGTGTGTGTGTATAATAAATATATATTCTCCTCTATCCCAGAAGAAACATAAATTACTATGTAGCCTAGAGGACACAAGTTATTTAGGATAATATGACCGCTTGGTGAACTATGAACTTAAGTCACATTCAAACAACTATTGCTTTGTGTTGTTGGCCTGAAAAATAGTAGTAAGACTCTCTCTGTGTACATGTATCCTATAGGCCTACCAGTAAAATTTTGGCTGAATTATTTGTGTCCCCTTCAAAAATTGCTCGAGAAATTTTATGTTTATTGTCCCATTCTGTTTGCTGGAGAGACATAAGAGGGAGACGGGGCATTAACCTCCGCCCACTGCTCTTTAGACATTGTGGAGTTGGTCGGTTCTGGCGACAAAGGTTGAATATTTTCCTCGTCATCTGTGTCGCCTGGGGTTGGTGACGCATGAATGTTTTCCTTCACAACGTTGTTCGGTTCTGGCGACACCTTGTGTTCTATGGAGTTGTCCGGTTCTAATGCCAGAACCGGAGTTGAAAACGGACACTGTCCTTGCTCAAATATAGAATAAATGTAGATAAAACTACACAACAGAAACTAATATAAAAATAACTAATTACTAATTTAGATTCCCCCGTTTGAAAAGAGAACAAACCAAAAGCATTCCGCTTGTTTTTAAACATTTATTTAACCTACACAAACAGTCCACTCACTTAATGAGGCTGCTGATGAGTTAAAAGAAATATGATTTGTTCTAAATGACATAAAATAGTGTTATATTTCCATAATGTGTTTTTACAAGCAGAGCATCACATCCACAAGCTAGCTCACAGCGTTTGGCTCAATAACACAACGAACACGTGATAACAATATATGAAACTACGCTCTCGTATTTGTTCGTCTGACACATTGAAAACGGCATCAATTTAAATGTAATTTGTTTTCCTGTTCACTTTATTTATAAGAATAAATTGCACTACATGCAAGTATTAATTAATGATTCGTGATTACACTGTACAGCATATTTGAGGCGTTCTTTTGCAGAAACAGATGTCTCCTTATATCTCTTGTGTTTATTATCCTAAATCTGGATCTTTTTGTGCGCTGTAAATTATCTTAAATTGTGTTTATTCAGAAAGCCTTTAAGCCTATAATACTCAGAGGTAATATTTCGTTTTATTTTACACAATAGTAGGCCTCCTCATTTCAAACAGTTTCATCCTTCTGCCATGTGAGTCACCGTTTCTCATTTCTCCTCTTTATGTGCGTACACATGGTTCAGAGTTTACTTACAGGACCGCACATTTTCCCACCATGTTTGTTTTTTATAGATCACAACCTTTGCTTGGGAAGTGGCATAGGCACGTTTCCAGCCCTGTTTTGTATGTACGTATTGTTTATACTGTTTTATGTTTTTTTCTCATGGCTAACATCTTGACCTCTTCTGACTCGACTTTTTTTGTTGTAAAGTCAGTTCTTGTTTCAAATAAACAGCAGAGGCAGACTTCTGCTGATGGAGCTCAGTGTGTCCGCACGTACAGCTTTTATCCTGTGTCAGGATCAACACTATTTTACATTTGGAACAAATTGTCTAAAAGAGTCCTTGAGAGGATACACGTAATTAAGCTTATTTTATTATTTTGGTTGTCTGTGTAATACAGGTGGCGAGAAGGATCAGACGTTGATATGCTCTTTATCAAACATTTACCAATGCTGCATTTTAGATTTAGGCTGGGGAATATGTTAGATGGAGTCCAAAATTAAGGCTTAATAGGTCAAAGGTCACCATCTATCATTAAAAAGTGACAGAAGGTGTTTTTTTGTACTCCCTCACGCCGGTGTCGCATCAGCTGCTGAGCAGAGTTGATTCTCCATGACAGCGTTGATTGTGCCAGCGTGTGAAAAATGTCAATTTTGTGAGTCTCGCAAGACAGCTTTTAACCTTACAAGCAATTTCGTCACATTTTCATTTTTAACACCCCTAATTATTATGCATTTCCACAATGTAGTTGCTGGTATGTTGCATGGTAACATAAACACACCAAAGACATCAGTGCTATTAACCAACCACTGTTAGAAATTGTCACATTTTCACTCTTCACACCCCTACTTATTATGCATTTCCACAGTGTAGTTGATGGTATGTTGCATGGTAACATTACCACACCAAACACATCATTGCTATAAACCAACAACTGTTAGGAATGGATATCGCTACTCGATTTCTTTAAGGTATCACAGAAATAGCCCAGTACTGAGTAGTATAAAAAAGTTGAGTACTGCATTTGATACATTTTGTAACCAGAACGGTGCAAAAAATCACTCCATTCTATCATATTAATTCAACGCTTTTGTGGCGCTGCAGCTCATCAGCTGATTTTACTCATGGAGCCTACAACTGCAGCTGCAGCTGATATCAGATGTAGTCGGTATTGTCAGCTGGATGTGCAGCCTCTCTTCTCCTGTTTGCTTCTTTAGACTCTTTAGTGTAGTTTAGTGACTTGTTTAAGCAAGTCCTTTCTCGTTTTCTACTTCTTACTGTCTTTTTGGTGTAGGTACTCACCACTAAAGGAAAAAGCATCCGCTGAGACCTTTCAATTCAGTTCAAGATTTATTGATGGACAGTAAAAATTTTCTCCGTTGTTTACTTAAATTCATTTTCAACAACTTAGTGACCACTTAACTGTTTTACTCCTCTCTCATTCAAATACAAAAAAAACTTCCAAGCTATCGTCCTTCCTCTGATGATACTTCTAGTGTGGATGACCTAATTAGGATGAGGAGCGATCTGATACAATTTCCCAATATTTTTATATAACAGTTATTGGGAAAAAAAAAAATAGAAAACAAAATAGATTACCTTGTGTGTCCATAACAACAATAAAAATAATAATACCAATAATTTACTATGGCTTTAACATGTGGCATTTTACGCAAGGTATCAAATGAAGTACTCCATTGTTATCTGAATCACTTTCAGGGTACTCGTTTTGGTACTGGGATTGTAAAATTTTAAACGATACCCAACCCTAACCACTATCCCCCTTTTTCTTTTTTCTCTAGGTAGATTTAATTTTCACGAATGTTGCTTATCTGGAAATAATTATTCACACATGGTAACATTAACGTATTAACTTCTGTGTGTTTTAGGTATTTTATCAGTACTCTCTCTGTCCAGTGAGAGTATGCTGTTGGCGTCAGAGCTACCAAAGGTTTCCTACGTAAAGGCCATTGATATCTGGCTCATTGCCTGTCTACTTTTTGGATTTTCATCACTGGTGGAATACGCTGTGGTACAGGTCAGTTCTTCTCACACTCACGCACTCACAATTACATACAACATATACAGTACATCTTCATACTCATCACTGGGTTAGACACTCCCTGAGCATAGAGTCTAGGATTATGAAAGGAGAAAGTAACAGTGTTGGCACGTCAGCAAGTTATCTTTGATTCATTTACAAAAGTAAATGTACAAGTACTGTACAAAGACTTTCATAACATTTGAGTGGTGTCATTTGAATGGGTATAAATGAATTAGGGTAAGGCCACAAGAAACACAGCAAACGCATTTGAGTGGCAAAGTTAAGTGTCAAATCGCTGGCAGTGATCACAATGGGATTACAGGCTGCTCCAAACTCATCAGGGTTGAAAAAGGTGAGAAAGATGAAATTCCTGTAGGGAGGTCTGTGGGGGTAGCTGGGAAAAATGTATGTGGTTTTTGTATTTTACAGCTATTGTAACTGCTGTCAATTAAAAGTCGGAAGGTCACATAGGAGGAAGACTTGTCAAAACTATCATTTGTTCACATGAAATATGTGGAGTGGTTAAAAATAAAGTTTAATGACTTCAACCGAGGTGTATTTAAACTTCTGACTTCAACTGTAATAAGGCACTGACTCAAAAAATGACAGCCCAGAGATGGCCTCTTCAGCCTCTTTTTTTAACAATTTTTACAACACATCACACAGCCATTTATGTCTGACCCGCTGGCAACAAAAGTGAGGACACCCCTGTCACCCCATGTCCAAATTGGGCCCAATTAGCCATTTTGCCTCCTCGGTGTCATGTAACTTGTTAGTGTTACAAGGTCTCGGGTGTGGTTTGGTGTTATTGCTCTCAGGCTCCCTCGTACTGGTCACTGAAGGTTCAACATGGTACCTCATGGCAAAGAAATGAGGATCAGAAATAAAGAATGGTTGCCCTACATAAAGATGGCCGAGGCTATAAGAAAACTGCCAAGATCGTGAAACTGAGCTGCTGCACGGTGGCAGAGACCATAGAGCGGTTCAACAGGACAGGTTCCACTCAGAACAGACCTCGCCATGGTCGACCAAAGAAGTTGAGTGGTGTCATTTGAATGGGGGGGGGGGGTTAATTTAAAAAAACAAAACAACCCATCTCCTGTTTTTTTCATAAAAAGATGAATACGTATAAATGTAACGTCACTCAACTCTTACCTTTCTTTTGACCCAGAAATATTTGTGTTAAATTAAGGGAGTTGTTGAGCTCTGAGGTGTCAAAATATCCTTCAGTGTAACTGCCTCGATTAAAAAAAACGCCAAAAGTGTTTTTAAAATGTGTGTATATATATATATATATATATATATATAAATACACACATACATATAAAATAATGGGTAACAGTGTTTCTAAAAAATATTTTACAACTTGAATAATAGCTGCTAAGCAATGTTACTACACACACACGCGTAGTGAGTGATACATAGTAAAACTATAAGTTGTTGTTTGTGACTGTCACTTGCTGAACTGCAGCTACGTTTACTTGCTGTAAAGAAAAGGGGATAGTGTAGTTGGCCATGAAAAACAGTAGTCTAGCTAGTGTGAATGCCATTAATTTTACCTATCTCTAGTAGCCTGTTTCAAAACAATATATTGTTATGACCTGGCTCTAAAGGCCAAAACAAAAAGGGAAACACACCACGGTAAGTGTTTAACAAAATATATTTATTTAACTCAAAATAAGCCAAAATGAGACTTGAGCCAATGTAAAGGTGATAAAGTACGGTGTATGAACATCAGTGGTCATGTCAGGGCAGGATGATGGATGCATGGAAAATGTGTGTAAGGGTGTTGTAATGTGCAAGAAACAATAACTACAACTAAAACAGCATGTCCAGAAACCTGTGGAGGGAAACAGAGTGTAGTAAGTTAGCAGAGAGGTCTGTGACCACAGCCCAGCAGCATCAACCCTAAAAATAAGAATAAGGCTTTACAAATACTCTACATGGCAATTAACCCAGGTGCCCGGAGTTACTGCAATCAGTTCCAGCTCGTCACCTGCAAGGGATAGATATTGGCCACGCCCACACATGACCCCACAGGGCGTCACAATATGCAAGCCAAAGTACTGGGCAAAAACACACTCTGATTGAACCAATCTACACTACAAATAGCATTCTTTGGACCTGCAACTTATCTAAGAGAGAGAGAGAGAGAGAGAGAGAGAGAGAGAGAGAGAGAGAGAGAGAGAGAGAGAGAGAGAGAGAGAGAGAGAGAATTAGATATGGTATTACTTTATCACACATTTACATGAACAGTTGGATAGTATTTAAGTCACAGCCTACACAAGAACTCCGTCTGACCTAAGTGAATTCACCCCAAGCAGATTTGATGCGTCTAAAAGTTAACATTACAGTAACTTTTGTTCAACAGAGCAGAAATGAAAGAAAAGAATATGTCTGTCACTTTTTACCTGTTAACACATTGACTTCTTCACTGGTTGTTGACACAAGTGTAGTTCTAATACAGTGACAGAGTGCAAAGATTTGCCACGGTTTTTATCCGTCCATAGCCTGGGGTCAAAGTCCACTGGAAGCGTGTCAGAAGCGTGTCAGCAGCGGAGCGTGTAGCCTGCCCTACTTGTTATTAATTTGTCCTGTTTGTGCTTCTACTACTTTCTCCACAGCTCTATGTGACCCTGTTTCGTCCCGTCAACTTCAGGCTGCATTTCCCAAGAGGAGCATTACAGAATCAGAGCATTTTGCCTGCCTGATTTTGCTGACATGTTTAGATTTTGTTGATTTGGTAATCAGTGTTTGCAGTTAAATGATTTCGTTTTGTGTCCGTTTTAACAGTGTTTATTATTGTTTTACAATCGGGAGCCTCCAAAGGGTGTTTCATTTTGAAAATTTACCGGATTCTCTCTGCCGTTCTCTTTCTGACTTCCTGCCTGGTGCGAGCTGCTCTGTGTTGCTTGACGCGGCTAGCGGCAAAGATAGACCTGCTACGTATTCTCTGTGGAGTGGGACACGCTGCGCCCACAGCTGGTGGACTCACAAGCATTGACTAGAATGGCTGCGATTAGCTCCGGCAACCATGGCGCAGCTGTAAAGCGCCTTAGCCGGAGTTTAGGCTTTAGTGTCTTAGCGACCAATACACAGGTGCATATTTCATTGATTGTTTATGGTTCATTGAACAAGCGCTAAAAACATTGTTTACACCCTTTAAAATCAGGTACAGACAGTAAAGGTAATGTTGCTATAGATTGAATGAATTATGGTACAGATATTTACAGTAGTGTTAATGATTATAATTAAAACAACAACAATAGGATTAGTAACAATAGTTGTAGCAGAGGGTGTCCAGCAGGAACACGGGGGCAGCAGGTGACCCGCAGCCACAGATCCAGACTCCACAGCTCCAGAGCCAGAAACACCTGCAGGAAGTGATAGGAGGAGAGAGGAGAGGGACGAGAAAGCACAAGACTACCGGAAAGGGGAGAAGTTGTGTTAGTAACATGCAATAATGGGATGAGGTTGCATACAGAGGGAGAGAAAGAAGAGGAGCTCCGTGCATCATGGGAAATTCCCCGGTAGTCTAGGCCTATAGCAGCATAACTAAGGGATGGTTCAGGACTCACCTGAGCCAGTCCTAACTATAAGCTTTATCAAAGAGGAAAGTCTTAAGCCTGCTCTTAAATGTGGAGATGGTGTCTGCCTCCTGAACCCAAACTGGAACCTGGTTCCACAGGAAAGGAGCTTGATAGCTGAACGCTCCAATTCTACCTTTGGAGACTCTAGGAACCACAAGTAAGCCTGCAATCTGGGAGCGCAGTGCTCTGGTGGGGTAGTAAGGTACTATGAACTCTTTAAGATAAGATTGTGCCTGACCATTAAGAGCTTTGTAGGTGAGAAGAAGGATTTTAAATTCTATTCTGGATTTTACTGGAAGCCAATGCAGAGAAGCTAAGACAAGAGAAATGTGATCTCTTTTCCTGGTTCCTGTCAGAACACGTGCTGCAGCATTCTGAATCAGCTGAAGAGTCTTAATGTACTTTTTTGAGCAGCCTGATAATAAGGAATTGCAGTAATTCCTCCTAGAAGTAACAAATGCATGGACTAGTTTTTCTGCATCATTTTTAGACAGGATGTTCCTGATTTTTGCAATATTACGTAGGTGAAAAAAGGCGGTCCTTGGAATTTGCTTAATGTGAGACTTAAACGACATGTCCTGATCAAAGATAACTCCAAGATTCCTCACGGTGGTGCTGGAGGCCAGGGCGATGCCATCAAGGGAAACTATATCTTTAGATAATGTGTCACGGAGGTGCTTGGGCCCCAGAACAATGACTTCAGTTTTATCCATGTTTAACATTAGAAAATTACAGGTCATCCAGGTTTTAACATCCTGAAGGCACATTTGAAGTAAGGCTAACAGATGAGTTTCATCTGGCTTGATCGATAGATATAACTGAGTATCATCTGCATAACAATGAAAGTTTTTGGAGTGTTTCCTGATAATATTGCCTAAAGGAAGCATATATAAAGTGAAGAGGATTGGTCTGAGGACAGATCCTTGTGGAACTCCATGACTAACTTTGGCGTACATGGAGGATTCATCGTTAACATGTACAAACTGAAATCGATCTGATAAATAGGACTTAGAGCCGTTCCTTTAATACCAATGAAATGTTCCAGTCTCTGTAATGTATCTGATGGTCAATGGTATTGAATGCAGCACTAAGATCTAATAAAACCAGTACAGAGACAAGTCCTTTGTCTGTTGCAATGAGGAGGTCATTAGTAATTTTCACCTGTGCTGCCTCTGTGCTATGATGAGCTCTAAATCCTGACTGAAAATCCTCAAATAAACTATTGCTCTGTAGAAAGTCACACAGCTGTTTAGCAACTGCTTTCTCCAGAACCTTAGAGAGAAATGGAAGGTTAGATATAGGTCTATAGTTGGCTAAAACATCTGGATCAAGGTTGGGCTTTTTCAGAAGAGGTTTAATTACAGCTACTTTAAAGTACTGTGGTACATAGCCTGTTGATAAAGATAGATTGATCATATCTAGTATAGAAGTGCTGACTAAGGGAAAAACTTCTTTAAGCAGCCTAGTCGGGATGGGGTCTAAGAGGCAGGTTGATGGTTTAGATGAAGAAATTATTGAAGTTAGTTGGTAAAGATTGAGGGAAGCAAAACAGTCTAAACATATATCTGGTTTTACAGCTCTAAGGTTCCTGAGTTTGGAGATAAGTTGGTGCCAGTTGAGGGCAGGTCTTGGTGAATTTTGTTTCTAATAGTTAGAATTTCATCATTAAAGAAGCTCATGAAGTCATAACTACTGAGAGCTATGGGAATACTTGGCTCAATAGAGCTGTGACTCTCTGTCAGCCTGGCTACAGTGCTGAATAGAAACCTGGGGTTGTTCCTATTTTCCTCTATTAATGACGAGTAGTACGCTGCTCTGGAATTACGGAGGGCCTTCCTATAAGTTTTAAGACTATCTTGCCAAATTAAACGAGAATTTTCCAGTTTGGTGGAACGCCAATTCCTCTCAAGTTTCCGCGATATTTGTTTTAATTTGCGAGTTTCAGTATTATACCATGGAGCTAACCGTCTGTTTTATTATTTTCTTTTTAGAGGTGCTACAGAGTCGAGTGTCATTCGCAGCGAGCCTGCAGCACTATCAACAAGATGATCGATTTGGGAGGGACTGAAATTAGCATAGGAGTCCTCTGTTACTTTGTGACTTGATAATGAATTTAGAGCTGATGGAATCACATCCTTAAATTTAGCTACAGCCCTATCAGACAGACATCTTGTATAGAATTACAATAAAAATAGTGTCCTGAAAAAGGGATGTTTTTTGCTGAGTTTATTCTCTCTCTCTCACCAACTGACAGGTGCCATAACGAGATAATCTATGCCATTCACTGCACCAGTCAGGGGTCATTACGTTATGGCTGATCGGTGTATATCGCTGCCATTTCACCAATAATTGGAGAAAACAAAACTCATCCATTGCTGAGAGCCACAAAATACAAACAAGAGCTATGGTACCATCTCCTGAATAATTTATGGCTCAGCTTATTTTGTATCCAGTTGTGCAAACATATTCCTATGTCACTTGGAATACGCTCTTAATAATATGTTTTGGTGATGAAGAATTGTCTATATGTACATGTTTTACCTCTAACAGAGGTGCACCAGTTGAGAATCACTTGTCTCACCTTGCAATGTGTAACTACCAGACGTGTGTAATAACGAGTTACATTTACTCCGTTACATGTTACAAGTAACCTTTGAGTAAATTGTAGTTGTCAGAGTAGTTTTAATGCATCCTACTTTTACTCTTAGTTTTTCAGAGAGAAATAATTACTTTTACTACACTACTTTAAGATACATTCATTGTGCTATTTCGCTACTTATTTACTGCAGTTAAGCATCAACATAATAATGGCTAAAGCTAACGCATGGTAGTATGGCTTTCAAATGGTGCTAGCAGCTAATATTTAGGCTCCAGATTGAAATTTTGCGCACCGTGCAGCCAGCCCCATGTCATCCCTGGACATTTGAGACAAACGCTTTGGCAGACTTTCTCAAAGCGTCTGTATTTGACCTCCTGGGATGAGACTGTGTTGGTGCAGCGGAATCTGCTTGTGAAGTCAGTAGGCTACACCGTGCTGACAGAGAGCAGTGTCTGTATTGTTAATGCTAACGTGTTTAATCATAAATGGTTACATACAGTATATCATGCTTAAAAACTCTTCATGCTTTCTGCCATAATGTAAATATTCAAGCTAATAGTATAGGAGCATGCAAACACAAAAAAAAGAAACTCCTCTTATTTCATGTGGATGCAACTGATGTAATGTTTCATGTAAAAGTGAAGAGGAGAACACACCTGTATTTAATAGGCAATAAATTATGAAATGAATAAAATTCAGAGACAAGTGTTTGCCTGAGCTGTTTATTTGAAAACTCGAATTGCCAGCACACAGTGTTATCTCCTAATTTGATTTGTTTGCCAAATCATAATTTAATATATACAAGAAAATAATATATTTTTAAACAATCTTTACATATCGGAGTACTAACAGACTATAATATTTATTCAATATTTTGTAATCAAATGGATACACACTTAGAATAATGTTCTGATAAATGTGGCAGGTTATCTAAGCAGGAGATTATAACTTATCATTTCATCACAAATAAATATAATAAAAAGTGTATGTTCACTTCTTTACCTAAGGAAGACCATCTGAAATAATTCTAGTCACATCCACATCAAATAAAAGACTAGCTCCTTAAGTAATTTTTTTAGTAAATACTTTTGTACTTTTACTCAAGTAGTTAATTTGATGACCACTTTTACCTCTACTTGAGTACTTGTTTTTGCAAAGTAACAGTACTTTTTCTGGAGTACAGTTTTGAGCTACTCTACCCACCTCTGGTAACTATGTGTTGTTAACTGCCCTATCAACTGTATTTGTACTGTACATTTACCTGTAGGAAATTGTGTCCATGAAATCCACAAAATCCTTTGTCTCTCTTTCCCCCTCTTTTATTTCATACTCTTTATCCCCCTGTTTTTCCCTCCCTCTTTGTCTGTTTCTCTCTTTTTCTCTATAGGTGATGCTGAACAGTCCCAAACGGATTGAGGAGGAGAAAGCCAAAATGGCCACAAAGGAGAAAGCTTTGCAAGAGAAAGAAGGAAAGAAGCCTTCAAATAAAACAAATAACACAGTGAATGGGACTGGTGGAACACCTATACATGTCAACACGCTGCAGGTAAACACAAATCAGTCTAATGGACTAGCATGCAAGATTATATTTCAATGCTGTCACTTACATTATTTGTAATTAGGGCTGAACAATTAATTGTTTTCAAATTGAAATTTAAAAGAACACGATTAGTTAATCGTGAAGACGGCGATTAAAATGTAGGTTAATTAAACAGCGCATCTGAACCGTTTTTAAATAGTCACGCAGTTACAAATTCATTCCATTGTCATCCTTGTGTGACACATCTGCCCGCCAATCACAAGCTGCATGTGCCTCATGTTACGGTCCTGCTCACCAATCAGGCATGTACATTTTACAACAAACGACACTAGATGAAATTTTGGAATAATGGCGCCAGCTGAATCGACACAGGCAGCGGTTGCGTCACGGTTTTGTCTAGTGGAGCGTTTAACTTACACGATGTTAATTTGTCATTTTGTGTGCTTCAACAACGGATAAAAGCTCTCCGTAAACCCGTTCCGTTCTCTGCAGGCTAACGTTACTTATCCAGATGGAGCATTTCAGATTAAGAGCGTTTTGCCCGTCTGATTTTGCTGACTTGTTCAGAATTTGCTTATTTGTTCAGTTGTCCTTGATTTTTGTTCTTCTACCTTGGTTCTACCTTGGCTACATAGTTAAAATGTTTTTTTGGAGAATATAGACATAGCTTGAGGGGTAGTTCTGATATAGTTGCTTGCTCAGTATTTACCCAAGGTGGAAGAATGTCTGAGCTAAAATAAAACTGTCAGGTCAGCCATCTGGCTGAATGCTGGGAACAGAGGTTTGGACCCAAAATTAAGACACTGAGCAGGTACTGGTGAATGAGTGAGGTTTATTGCAGCACACGGTGAAACTTACAGGTGAGGTGGTAAGCAGTCCAAAATCCAACCGGTGAATAATCCAACTGAAAGTAAATCCAAAGTAATCCACAAAAAAAAAAAACACAGGAGGCACGAGTAACACTGGAGAACTCTCACATGGAAATCATTAGCCTACAACACATGAAAACGACAACAATGAAGGGAGAAACTAATTAGACACAGGTGAACCTACTTAAAAAATCAGAGACAAGCACAGGAAGTAAAAATGACAACACACACTAGGAGCAGAAACTACAAACTAAAACAGGAAGTAAAGCATATGAGAACACACAAGGACAGAGTTACCAAAGTAAAACGGAAAACAACTGCATGCCGAACAAAACCAGGGCAGGGAACTGGAAACAGGACAACACAAAAATGGAGACATAGGACTAAGGACTAAGACAACCACTCACAAAATATGGAACCAGATGACATGGACAAGACACACTGACAAGTGGACAAAAACCAGATCAAATGACAAGGGACCAGGAAGAATAAAACAGAACTAAAATGCAGGACTAAAACTAAGATAAGGGACAAGACAGAAACTAAGTCAATTAAACATGCAAATGAACAAAAGAATAAACTAGGCTAAAAAACCCCACACATGAAAGACTAAACACAAGAATACAAAACCAGAACACAAGTGAAACCCAGAACTACATAAAAACATAGGAAACAACTGAAAAACCACCCAACCAACCCAAACCCTCGACAAAAACGAGGCAGAGTGTAACTGAGCTGACCAGTAATACCACCGCAGATTTGGAAGACGAAGGCCACCTCTCTCATACAGCAAGTAAAGCAACTTCAATTCCAGCCTAGCTTTTTTATTGAATTGCCAAATGCCAAATGAATTTAGCAAGAATGTTGTTAATTTTATCAAAAAAACATTTAGGAAGCGGGTGTGGGATTGATTGAAAAAGGTACAGGAATTTTGGTTGTATATCCATTTTATTATATTAATACGTCCGATCATTGCATTCTTTAAACATATTCAGAAGTGGCTCTACTAATTTAGTTTTAAATGTTTTATAAAATTAATTAATTAATTAATTAATTAATGTCGTCAGATAATGACTGAAACTGAAGCTGATCAAGAAATGTTTCTTGCGCATCTGAGCCGCGGTTGCATTCTGATCTATATAAGGATTCATAAAAATTATTACTATTTATTGCTCGGTCAGTTTGTTGTTTTTGATTCTCCAGGATAAGAGTTTTCCAGCCTTTGAACCCTTTTCTAGCCAGTCAATAGTGTCAACAAAAGCTTGGTCTTGCAGCCATCTCGCCTGGAACCTCCAATTAGGTGGGCTATGGGCAATTTTGTCAATTTGGATTTTGAGTGATACAGCAGCATGGTCACTTAACATGATACCATTAAACCAGCATTCGCTAACCTTGGGTAAGAGGAATTATAGTTATGATACATACTTATCTATACAAAAGAAAATAGAATAAAAGGCTGCTGCAAAAAATCAAAACCAAATTTTAAAAAAAACAGACAAACATAAATATACACATACCTGGGGAGACTTGAACAACATCTTCCCACAACAATGCGAACCCTTCTAATCCCGCTCCCCCCTCCCTCCTCTAAAAACTGTAACACTTCAGCTTCACTGGTAAATCTATCCCAGGCAAACCACAAATGATGTCCACAAACCATGCAGTCAAAAGAGCATACAACAATACCCCAAAGTGAATGGTTATTGCAACTAAACATGTCAAACAAAAAGAGCAGAGTCCATAAAGTTTAAAGTTGAGTCTTGGAAATAACTGGGTTAAATTAAACTATAGTACCCCTGTGCACCATATCTATAAATTATAATAGTTGAATGACATCTTGTTAAAAGTTAGAATCAGGTCGGGTAACCATAATCAAATAAACAATAGGTTTCCCAGGCTCCTTATGTAATGTATGTCCTTATGTCTACTGTATAGAGTAAGGTAACCGTTCATGGATATGAGAGTACAAACTTCTTCAACATTATTTAGTGCAGTACCTTGTCAAAAGGCATCAGTTGATTCTCCATTTGTAAACAAACCCATGTCGTCTCTTCAAAGTCCACGATGGAATTTCTCTGCATCTTCCGGCGACGAGAAGAGATGAATCTTGACATTAGTGCAAAGGAGAGTTTGTTTCCGTTGTTTGATGTCACGTACTTTGGAGTAGTGGAATGCAAATTCCCGGTCTTGGAATTTCAGAAAGCGTATGAGGACTGCTCTGTCTTGGTTCGGTTTTTGCCGGGCCCAGTGTGCTGCGAGCCCTTTCCAGCATGATGTATTTATCCGTACCTAGCCATCTTATCCGTCTATTCCGTCCAGTTTGGAACCAAATACACTGAAGTCCGCATTAAGTGTGTTTAGCTCTGGTAGCACAGCGGCTATGCCAGTTTAGGCCATGCTAGTCTGTTCCTCATTCTCGGTTGTTGGCTCACTTTTCTTCTTTTGAGAACTTCTTGCTCGCTTAAAAAAAAATCACTCTCCTCGTTCAATGCAGTTTTTTACATGGTTGCTGTTGAACTAGTAAATATAACTCAGGGATTTATATTAAATTCTGCAAGGTTGTGTGGTGCAATCAAATTATGTCGCCATCTTGATCCAAGCCCCGCCTCTCACATATTTAATTTCACTTCATATCACATGTTATCACTTTATCATTTAAACATTTAAGACAGCAGTGTTATTTGTGCTTGCGCTAGTTAGCCATAACTATTCTATACTGCACCTTCCAATTGTGCCAAATTGCACCAACTTAAATCTTAAATCAGTGTCCTCTAAATATTTCATCAGTCCCCAAAGTGCGCAGAGGAGAGGGCCGGAGTGTATGACACAGACACTCATGGGCAGTTGTGAAACTGCCAGCATGAAGCCATGATAATGTCAGGTGGCAGGACTCCAGCTTGCCTTTCCCAAGTAGGCTATAACCACTGTTTGTGGCAGCAGCTGTTACGAGCGGGAGCCAACAGGTTAAAGCCTTTATTTAGAATAATATAACTGTGAACGAGCTGCATCAAACAATATGTGCTTTATAATTTCCATCTCACAAGCACTTCAGAAAAAACTCATTCCCCCCTCGTTTTTTGACATCCACTTTGTCAGACCATGTTTTCTTTATTTCAGCCATTATGAGTCTCTCAGCCAGCTGCACTGACTTCCATTGTGACACTCTGAAACTCCGTCGTTGTGCGTTTTTTGCTGATCCAGGAGTTCAAATGATCAAATAAAAGATTTCTTCTCGCCTCAACTTTGTGAGCAACTCGATCTGGCACTCAGCGTAGTTTCTCTTTTTCACGAGTTTTGCAGCAAGATCGGCCGTTGTTATTTGGACTTCAGGAGGTGACACTGGCGAATTTGCGGTCATTTGCATAGTAATTTATGGGAGGAGCCAAGGTGTGTGGCTTGTGCATGTGTGCTAAATTCACCTTGATTGGGATATATAAAGGAAAGATGTGCGGGACTTGGCGATGCCTGGTTTTATACATGTGGATATTTTTGTGCGTACATACTTACATACAAATTCTGTGAGTATGCCATCTTTCAGTATGAAAGCTGTGCAGTCTTTTATACACGAGGCCCCTCTTTATCTTTATGTGTCATTAGGCATGCAGCATCATCAACGTACACAAAGACATCATAAGCAGGCAGATTTACAATAATTGATGTATAATAAAATGAATTAAGGCCCCAGCATGCTCTCCTGGAGACCCGTAAATTATGGATTTAGGACTATAAAGCAATAAGGCAACACAGACCCATTTGACAACTATTCTTTGTACAGCAAAACTCCATGAGTGACAATATCAAATGACTTTAATTAGTCAGTCTCTCTCTCTCTTACCAGGTAGTAGAAACTCGCTGTAAGAAAGTTTGCACATCCAAATCAGACCTTCGCTCCAATGACTTCAGCATCGTGGGATCTTTACCTCGAGACTTTGAACTTTCCAACTTGACTGTTATGGTAAACCAGTTGAAGTCACAGGGCCCTTAAGTCCCAGAGCAAAACCAACAAGAAACCCCCACCACCCAAACCGGTCATACCTGCTGCTGCCAAACGCATTGACCTCTATGCAAGAGCCCTCTTTCCCTTTTCCTTCCTTTTCTTCAATGTCGTCTACTGGTCAGTCTATCTGTGAGAGGGAGAAGAGAGATTAATAGTTTGTATGTTGTATTTTGGCAACATACTGATATTGAAACTACATTAAATAGTCAAATGACATAGCAAATTCATATACTGATCAGGTGCATCTCAGAAAACTTGACAAAATCATGGAATTTAAGTCAAAAAGTTAGACTTTCATATATTCTAGAATCATTGCACATTAGTGAAATATT